AGATACACTTGTGAAAGGTATAAATCCACATTTTCTCTCCTCAGCTATGGTTTAATTAATAATATTTGTATCAGTAAATCATTATTATCTCCAAAAACATCTTACAATCTAAATATATTTTGGGGCTTTAAATAACCCGCCAAAGGTCGATAAGACTTAAAAAATTAAATCAATCAATCAGATAAATGACTGCTGTAATTCGACACAATAAACAGTAAATGTACAATCTTAGTTCTACTAACTGTAACTACTACTGTTTAGTGTCCTTTCATCTGGTGTAAACCACATATTTGGTGCAGATAAATCTCAGTAATCACATCGTATAAAACATTTTACTGATGTAGTGAGTTTCATTATCTCAGGTAGTTGATTTTAATTACTACTTAGCACTCAGTTTGCATGAAAGTTATTATTTTGTGGTGGTATCTTCTTGATATCTATCTCTCCACTGTAGGTTTTTTGATAATGTTAACATAGTCCAGATCAAAGAAACAATTACGTGTACCTAACTTGCTCATAATGTTATGCAATACCCTTTATTTATTTTTCACCGGTGTAGTACATATCTTGACAGAATTCATATAATATAATAGCCATTGCACCTCATGATATATGACATGACAGCTTTATATTCGAATACATTTTAATCGATTAAGATCTATTTACGATCTTAAGAAAATAACCACTTTTTCAATTGGCTGGGGTCTTCTATAACACAAAATAAAACTTTTCGTGAAGAAGGGATTAGATTGAGTTATAAGTGATTTTAATTTTGGAGAAGCAATTATAATGGAAATTAGACGTGGCAGTAAAGAATAATTTAGAATGACACTAATATACGAAAATGTTCAATGCAAAACTCCTGCTGTATATCTCGAGATGCTTTGCAAAATTCAAAGACTGTTCACTATCATAATCGATTCTAACCTGGCATTTTGACGTCAATTACTTTTTCAAAGCCGTAATGTGGCTTCCCACTGTCTTTTCTACAAACATTTTCATGGCAATTTTTCTGATAAGCTTTCCTCCATGGCACCACCACCGTATGGATTTAAGCATGCTACTAAATTAGAAACAAGGTCTCACCGTTTTGCTAATAAACTACATCGATGTATCCATAAGTTCTATACTGATAGTTTAATTTCTCACACTTCCTGCATGTGGAACTCCTTTGTCGTTTCTTGCAAACCTACAATCTTCACAATTTTGAATGCAACAACAATTGCCGTCTTCTTTCATCAAGGATCCTATACTTTTAGTGTCTTTTCTCTTCGCTAAAGTCTTCTCATTCATTGTCAATCCTAGTAGTCCCTTGCTTTTAGGGATATTATCGCTTTTTGTGGGGGTTGAAATGATTAAAAACGAATGTGAGACCGTCACTACTGGAAGTCCGTCCGCAACTACTGGGCGAGTTAATGTTGGGTGGAGAAATTATTTGCCAGTAACCGTCTTTTCAAATTGTGTCACCTTGTGCAGCTACCTGGGTAGGTATTACGGGATCTATGCCTACTTTCAAGGAGCAATGAAAAATTTATCACCACACTGACTCCCTCTACAAATGAGCAAGCAATATTCCCTCATTTCTAATTCATGGCCAATTATAAGTAAAGAAGAGTCTGCAATGTCATCAATCCTGACTTGCATTTATTTTTACACCCCGTGCAAAAGTAAATTTTATATTCGACTGCATTTTAATATCTTATGGCAACTGTTCTAATGAAGGTTTTTTTCCTTAGTGCTTCGACTGTATGAATGTGTGCTACTAGATTGGCAGTTAGGTCTCACCGTTTTACTGTCGAAATAGCTAAATGCAATCGTCTCTTCTCTCCTAACTTTCTTTTCTCGCAGTTGCTTGTCGAAATCCCTTCCAATTTTTTGCTTTCCCGTCACATACAATCTTTGAAAATTTAAATTCAGCATCAATGGCCCTCTTCTGTCTTCCTGAATCTAGTACCTTTATTGTCGACCCTTCTCATTAAAGTTTTCTCATACTCTTTCACTTTCTGTAACTGTCATTTCCTTTTCTTGTCTCGGTGCCATGGCTGGCTTGCAATTCCTTGATTCCCTATCACATACAATCATCAAAAATTTCAATCCAGCGTCAATCACCATCTTCTGTCATCCTGACCCGTGTTCCTTCATTGTCCTTTTCCACACTTCTCCTCACTAAAATCTTCTCATCCTCTTTCACTCCCAGCAACTTTCTGTGTTCCAGTGGCAATATCAGCTTCGGGTGAAATGTTTAAAAACGATGGAAGTGAATTGGCAGGGATTAATGTCAAAAATCAACTCGAAAAGCTGGCCTCCATGGAAGAAGCTTTCTTTCTTCCATGGAAGGCTGCATCCAGTAAGACATAGAATAATATAACAAAGTTGGAGTATTCTACCTCACCCGAAATAGTCACCTGACCTTGAACCAAACGATTATTATCTTTTTGATCGCTAAAAAATTATGTGATGGGGAAAACATTGTGTAATTAACATTAGATTCAAGGGTTCGTCGAAATATTTTCATATATATAACGTGCAGAATCTTACTCGAAATGCATCAAAGCTCTGTCTGATAAGTGACAACACCTAATTGATCATATTACTGAATATATAAAAGTATACAATATAATTGTAGTTTATTGGTTTGCGAATATTGCTAATAAGAAAAGAAAAATTATTCATGAATCAGCCTAATATTCATTTTTTCTCTGGGTAACACAATTAGAATATTAACCCTTAAGTAATTGGTTCAAAATTGTTTCACAGCAAACTTTTGGCTTGCAAATTAAAGTCAAAACTAAACAAAACCAAGAGTCGGAAATATGAATTCAGTATTTAAATACTTGAACAATCAAATTCCTGAAGAACTGTGTAAGGGTTTTTTTTCTTTTTTTTTTGTTTCTTTCGTTTTCTTTTTTTTTTTTTTGTAATGGGCAGTTAACTCGTTGTGAATGAACGTCAATAAAATAAAGGTTGAACATCTTTCAAAACCTGACCGGAATATTTTTACAGTATGGAAACCCCAAAATTTATACAAATTAATTATTCATGTATTCAGTCCATGTGTTATTTAGTTGGTCAATGATGTCGTCAGAGATTAAACCTCATCTTTCCGGGTTTAAAGAATTCAGATCATTTCTATCATTTGGCCAATGGGCAATATTTGAAAATGGTTGTCGATTTTTAGAATGACAGTTGAAAAGAATTTGATTTTTTTTCTTGTAATAGAAATAAATAAAAGAAATATTTATATTTCCATCCATATTTTATTTCATTCGTTTACGTGTGTTAAGTTTTGTTTTACTTGTGAAGATAAATGTGATCTCCATTAAAATTAGAGCTAGATGAATGTTTTCGTAAAAATTCTTCATGGTAAGCGTATGTAAACTATAGGTGAGCAGCCTGTAGATCTTTGTGAAGATCATCATTCTTCGAACACGGCCTGGCGCTACAGAATCACAAAGCACTCTACCAAATCATAGAAGCCACAGCAGTGGTGAACTACCAACAACAGTAACAACTCAAATGGATACGACATGTAACTCGAATGACATAATCAAAACATTGACATTGCACTCTTCTTCAAAGAAAAGGCCAGGAAGGAAACGCCTGTCAATACTGGAAAAAGAAATAACAGCTTGTTGGCTTGTGAAAAATAGTTTCCTGAAAAATTACAACCTACAGGAGTACTGCTACTTGGTGAATGAATGTAAAATGTTTCCTTATAAGGATAGCGATAATATTAACATTACCTTACTGTGTATTTAGATGACACAACCTAGATGTTAATAAGAGCAATGGTGTATGTTTGTTTGTTTGCTTAGCTGTACATCAATACTTATGGATCATTTAATGTAGAAATTTAATTTTCTTGGGCACATAAATAATTTATTTCTACAAAAAATATATTGCGGGTAATTTTTCTTCCTTTTTGTTACAAAAATATATTACAGATGATAGATCTTCATGAAGATCTACAGGGTCACAAACTCACATCAATCTAACCAAATATTACAGATAATAAAGCGATTTTCTAAGCCTGGCTTAGATGTGGCACAAGGCCGAAAGTATGGGGTACCCAGTGAGGATCGAACTCACTACTCAGTCGTAATTGATCTAGCATTACACCACTTCGAGATACAGATAATATATATTTCTTTACAGGAATGTATTGCGTGTAATTTGTTTTAATATGAAAATATTTTGTTGATATTTTTAATAAACATTTTTATACTTTCGTAGCGTTTTTAACTATTTGCCCACAGCTGGGACCCTAATAGGGGCTCCCCACTCCTAGTCAGAGAGAGTCGTCGAACAACAGCAATTAAGAAATGTTTACACCCTATACAAATCCTCCCGATCAGAGGCCTTGCTGCCAGATGTATTTTATCGTCATGCCCAGGTCGGGCAATGATGTTCCTGTTTTTTTGTAAATAATACTTATTGCGACGTTAGATACTTTATGTGAAAATCGAGACACAACTGAAAAGTTTTGATAAGCCGCCTGTCGTAGATTTAGCAACGCTGGAGATTAACTATCTGAAAAGTATTCAGACTTCGTAAGTATATAATGTCAAATCGTCATTTCTTCAGATGAGCAAAGGCTATATATAGATTCAACTCTAAATAAAAGTAATAATTTCCAAGTTTCTCAGTATCATATATTTTATATGTAACACCCTGACATATTACATGAAATACATTTTTTTTTTTTTTACAGGAAATACATTATTTCATCGAGACATTCATTTATTTTATACACCATTTGAAATCTGCAGGGTATTTAAAACCAGAAAGCATTTTTAGATTTTAAGAACATGCCTTTGTCATAATAATGACATACAAGTCTTACTTATTAAACCGTAGCTGGATGTAGAAGTGGCGGATTCATAGCTCTCCCCAGAGTATTTCCGCGTAAGTGAATATAACAAACACAGCGGGAATTGGTACTCGGCTTACCGATTAAGAATTTCAACCTATTATCCATTACACTGCTCGCACATTCAATCTTACAGCACTTGGAATTCCCAAGCGGTCACCTATCTAATTACTGACCAGGCTCGAAGTTGCTTAACTTTGGTGATCGTAAAGGAACCGGTATTTCACTGTCATATGGCCTTAATCCCTACATTATATTAGTGAGTTCTTATAGATGATAACCATTGACAAAATAATAAAACTTCGACTAAATACGTAAAATTATTCTTTCAAGTTCTAAACTGTGAATCGAGTTTAAATTAAGTTTGACAAAATGGCTATTTATATCGCCAACAAATTATATGACGGTTAGGCAAGTCATTCTTTCAGTACTTTTAAATTTATGATCGTGTTTAGAGGATACATTCTTTGAGATGAACAAACCTTGGCCAAGAATAGAAGCAACCGGAGACTGTCATCTTATTCAAGGAATCTTTTATGACAGAAGATATAAATATAGGTCTTTAAGTGGCAGAATAACATTAACTGTTATGGCTAATAAAATAAGTGTACGATACAAAGACACCGAATTAACACTGATTCAGTTTTTCATTTTTTTTTTCTTTCTCAAGAACTTACCAAGCGTCATTTCACTAGAGAAATGCGCCTGAAATAAATGTGTTACCCTCCTAATGACAATTTAGTACAATTTATTATCTCTTAATTTGGAGGATTTCTCAAAGAAGTCCTACCTATGCTTACCGGCCGCTCCATAAACGGTTCTGTGTCTGTACATTCGGCACATGTTCACACTGAAAACGCTACAACAAATATATATATATATATATATATATATATATATATATATATATATATATATATATATATATATATATATATTATAAATTAATTGATTTAAATTTACATTGAGCACTATTTTTAAAAATAAAAATATCTATAAGAACACCGGATTTTATATCTTACTTTCTTTATTATATATATATATATATATATATATATATATATATATATATATATATATATATATATGTGTGTGTGTGTGTGTGTGTGTGTGTGTGTGTGTGTGTGTGATTGTGTGTCTGTGTGTCTGTGTCATCCACAGACTGTTTCGCTGTATCACAGCTCATCAGTGTGGCTAAAAATTCCATTGCCTCAAACAAGGATTGGAACCCAACCGATTAGTCATCAATCGGAGATTTTTACCCTGAATTATCAGCTCCCTAAACACGCCGGTGACTCAGAGCTTTTTTCATCAACAGTAGCAGTCACTGTTTACAAATAAAGTGCACAACTTTATTTTTTCGGGGGTGTATATACGTGTCATCCACAGACAGCCTGTTTTGCTGTATCACAGCTCATCAGTGTGACTAGATATGCGATTGCCGCAAGCTATGATTGAAACCCAACCGATTTGGCATCTGTCATGTTGAAACGACGGATATTGAAAAATTCCAAGACTAACATACTTCCAAAATTTAGCCAGTATTCTGATGTTTGGTTATTAGAATACAGAATCAGGAACGTGAGTCCGTCGAAGAACATTAGAGCAGTATTCACCGTTTCCCTATAAAGAAATATTCGATATTAATTGACGAGCAGACAGTCCTATATCTGGCTGAAATTTCTAAATATTTCTATGAAAAAATGTTTCTACGAAAATAGTTTTCTCAAATCCATAACATGCTATCGCTCTTCCCAATATGGATGGTTCCTTCCTTCTTAACATTCATTTGAAGTAATATAGAATGACAAAATCTTGATTATTTTCCCTTAGAGTGATATGTGATTTACTCTTCTGTTGCTGCTGTTGTTGAAATAGCCTTTTGAAATAGTTATTGTTGAAAATAACCTGGGTTGAGATGGTCTCAACCAGGTGAAATCGTCCCAGACACGCCACATGATGAGTACACACAAAAAAATAATTCGTAGAATCTCAAGTTCTGCCACACAACCGCGGCAAATGTAGTACAATGGTTGACGGCTCAGCACGTTGGCGCTACAACGATTCTTTCGTTAAGGAAGAAAAGAGTGCAAAAAATGAAAATTCTTGAAAGTTCTCAAGTGATATGATTTTTGTTATTTTGCACTGTTCTTGATTTGGGATTATGTAACAACAGGTGACTATGTTCGAAGAACGGTGGTCAGCTATAAAACCTACTGATTTCAACGGCTCAAAGCCGTTTTTAATAATTTATCTGAGAAAACGGTTCTATACCACTGACAGTTGAGGTATTTCTAAAAGAGTTTGGCGTATTGTATGTCATCCATCCTACAACGCTATTTAAGGCCAGGAAAATATAATAGAATAATTTTATTTATTGAAACTAATGTTATACTTTTTATATAAAAAAATATACTTCTAGAATACGCATCTATATATATATATATATATATATATATATATATATATATATATATATAATTATTTATTTCAAACCTGTAATTTAAATATGATATAAAATTACTACAAAAATAGCCATTTTTGTTTCAACACCTCCGGTGTCTTATCAAATCCCCATGTTGAATGCAGAACCTACATTCTACATTCAACATGATAACTTGATAAGACACCGGAGGTGTTGAATCAAAATGGCTATTTTTGTAGTCAATTTATAACATATTTAAGTTATAATTTTAAATAAATAATTATATCTGCTCTACTCTGTATTGAGCACTCTTTTAATAATAGTATAGTAATTGTTGGTTATTGGAATTTATTCCGTACACGCCAATCCTATATTTGTACATTTTACGACATTTTTATGTTTATATATATATATATATATATATATATATATATATATATATATATAAATGAGAGAGAGAAAAAGAGAGAGAAGAAAGCGTGTGCTTGTGTGTCCTAAAAATGTACTCAATTTTTTTATCCCGTCGTAAGTTTGAATATTTATAAACGTGCACTTATTTTCATTCGATATTTAAAATATTTAAACGGTTAATCTTCTTTTTAAGTCAATGATCACAGCATTTATTCTCCTTTAAAGAGCGAGTATATTTTTAGGCCATAGTAAATAAGAGGAAAGACCAAAGGTTTTCTTTTTTCATTTTTAATTAATATTTTTCAATCCTTTTTTGTTTAATTATTTTCTTGCGTCAGCGGATGTCCATGAATTAGTTTAGGAAATGTTAGCCTCTTTTTGCGGTGAAAAACACATTGATTGGCAAATTCTTGTAAAAATCTGAGAATAGTTTCAAGACTTATTCAGGAATGAATTAAATTATGCAGATATTTTTCTTTTTAGAAAATCTTAGTAAGAAGTTTTGTTTTCTTCATATCTACTACCTACATACTTCATTTTATGAAATTTCGAGAATTTGTAGGGCTTAATGTTTATTATTTATGAGCATAATTTTTTTTCTAATCCATGATACCAGTTTTCGTAAATCTGCTCTGAATCGTAAACAGTTTGATAAGTAAAATGAAAAACCAGTTTGAACAAGTTAGATTGCAACACAATAGTGATGAAGAAATGTTTAGTGAGCCTGAAAGTAATGAAGGCGAAAGTGCCATGTTAAGACAAGACAAACTAGACAGTGAAATCAGGACAATAAAGACTTTTTTCCTATGCAAAATGAATTTCGAGATTTCCCATGTCCCAACAATTATGATGGAATAAATAAGATTTTCTAAACATATTCTGTATCAAGTTTATATTTTGTAAACTAATATTTAATTTCAGAAAGCAAATATTATTTTTTTAGGCGCTGATTTTTTTTTTCTTTTTCAACAGAGTTAATACTATTAATTAACAGAGTCGAAAATATAATCGCTTAACAAATAGAGACAGTAATTATGCAAGGCCCTGAGTCCACTTGTGGTAGAGAGTTGCGTCAAGAGACAATTTATGTGGATAGGAGTGGAAGGTCATAAGCAGTTGTTCACCTGAGGAAGCTGTTCGAGTGTATGCTATTTATCATCGATGCGATACCGGTGGGGGGGGGGGAATGTGGGCGGTTTGCTACTATTTAAGTGGCATCGCATGTCTTTACTGTGAAGAATTAAACTTTCGAAACCAGGGAATGTAGTTCATCCGAGCCATTTCCGTGGAGTTAGACATGGAGCAGCGAGAGGCGTGCCACATCTCTCCAGTTTGAAGGGATCGATGATTTTGGACACTACCGAGCTCCGATAGCTTCATCCCAGATATGACAATAGTATTCCATATTTGGTCTGATATGGCTCTTTTAATTATAGAGAATAGCATGAGGAGTCAGGTACTTAACGAAGCGGTACAACGACTCAATATTTTTACCTGCATCTTTAGCATTGGATCGCATGTACGAGTTGAGGTCAGGTGTGAGTTGGAGGCACAATAGTTTTCAAGGCACGGCACCTCCTCTATATCTCTTCTCCATATTGTGATTATCTCCATTTCCTTCAATCTTCTTTTCCATATTACACACTGCATTCGTCTTGGCTATTTCAAATGTAAACCTTCAACATGAGTGTCTCCCGAGCATTGTCCTGGATTATTTTTTTTTAAGCATAAGAAACAAAAACGCTAAATCTTCCGTATATTCCGTATAGTATTTTTATGTTCGTATAAATAGAATATGTCTTCTTTGCAAGAAATCAGGTTGTAGATCAGTTTTCATTGAGGTATTTTTCTAAAGAGAGTTTTTATCAGGAGTTAAATGTATTGCTGGTAATATTCTTTCAGTAATGTATTGCTGGTATATTCAGTATAAAAACCTATTTTTAGACTTTCATATTGTTTTGACCACTATTTTGGATCAACCATTTGTCCATAGATGTGAACCTAACACTTGCTACCACCTGGGGTCAGGGTGGACCTGAAAACGACAGCAATTAAGAAGTCGTCCCACGCTTCTCAAAACCTCCTGATTAGAGGCATTCATGCCGGATGTAATTTATCGTTATACACAAGACGCCTGATTGGTGGGGTCTTACTCCACAGCAGAGGTTCAGGCGGTGTATTCGGAAGCCCCAGCAGTCAATGTTTATATTGTGTCTGTGGGAATTCCAATATACACTGGAAATAACAGACAAGTTCGTACGTATTTTTTTTTGTTTTGTTTTGTTTTTTGTTTTTTTTTTGTTTGTTTTTTTATCGCTACATGGTGTTCGGGCTAGTTACTAAGAAACAATAACATTCAAAACTACACATTTTGATTTCATTTTCCGAAATCTCCTGTCAAGG